GAAAACAAGACGATGCAGTAGAATCACTTCAATACAGTCATTTAAGAACAGAGATACATTGGGTGTATCAGAATAGAAACAAGTTGAAAGTTTATCAAGTTCCTTCATTAGGATCTAAGCACAGAATACTGTTGGTAACACAAAACATAATCGAACTTATTAGATATCAGGCACGATACGAAAAAAATAGCAAAGGAACCCATTTTCATGTTGGTTAGCAGCATAATACCTGCTAAAACACCAAGTCTTGATGGTTGACAACTACGACGACCTTTCATTCTCATTCACATGGAAATTGATACATTAGAAGTAATAATCCATAATAATGTGCTAAATCATGTAGAACTGCATTATCTGCCGACTTCGATGTAACACGATCTTCAGAATAAATGTCCCTCATCGATCAACCTACTAGAGGCAAGAGATAAAAGAGCGGCCCAACATAGCGGCTAACTTTATGACGAAATATTTATAGGTTTCACATGGCCATTTTGTAGTGTCTTAGAGTTAATGAGGAGTTTTTCTTTATATCTTAACAACACTATGCAAGTCCTCCATACTCTTCATCACAAATGTCAATGTCTGAATAATAATAAGTAGTAAGGCTGATCATCGCGACATGCATGCTGGTTAAGATGTTGTATTTTGATGGTCCAAAAATTTGAAACTAAACGCCGATTCGAATAACAATGGTATTACTCTGTAGCGGTAAATAAATCCCCAAAATAAATAGCACTGTAAGTTTTCGACATTGGATGCTGACCATATGTTTTAATGGACTCATCTAGCTGAAGGCGCTCGGTCATGCATCCGCACCAGATCACGTGCGGTAACGCTGTGCTCAACATCTACTGCAATCGCTAGCCAGATTAGATCAGAGAATTCCGATATATTGGTCATCGCCAAATATACTCTTCCGATCTCCTCGACTCTGTCTTTTGATTTCTCTTGGTAGGTACGGGTTATATTAGAAGGTGTTGCCGGTAAAAGCATTGTCAAACACCGAATACCTGTGCCATCTTCAACGCAATTAAAATATGGTAACAGACACCAATGTATGACGGATGGAACACCACTTCCTTAAATACAGAAACGGAATTATCTTGAACTGTAATTCCTATCTCAAAAATAACTTCCTATGTCAATTGATCCGTTCCCAAAGTCAACATGTATTTCGGTCGCCATTTAGAGATCTTAAATTCTTTTGCTTAGATATGTTTTGCATATTGAGGACGAACAGTATGTGACCACACCTGGAATCTTGCGTCAGAAAAATAAGTCGATAACTTACTAAAGATCCCGGAAAAATAAGAGTATTTAACGTGTGAGGACAATGTTTTGGACGTGTTTTATAAACTTCCGTACACTCAAACCTTCTTCACTTATTTTAATCTTAGGAAAAGAGCTGAGTTCACATTGTTACTTAGTATTTCAGAAGATTACGTGAGTGTCACCACATCTTGTCTTTTGGATTTCTTTAATGACAGTGAACTCTGTGGTCAATAAAAACAGCTTAAGAAGCTTTAGTTGAATAAAAATTCACTGAGATTTCTTACCGTCGAGTGATCACCAACAGGACCTTTCAACCAGAGATGTGTTATCGTGTTCATCAGTGAATCATTTCAATCCGAATCTAGATCTCCAATGGAAACTAGATACCAAAATACATAAGACAAACGACTAAACTGGCCTCCTTATTACTAGATACTGAAAAATATCCTTACTGCTTGTCCAAGTAGAACAGCTAGTTCGTCTGCACAAAAAAATAACAGCCATCAACCCATATTAATACATGAAAACATGTATTCATACTTATTTCGACTTCTCGGACCCAAAAACGTACAAAAATGAGAGTTCATATATTGCAAATTGCCTAGACTCAACTTGTTTGCTCACATTATCTAAAGATCTCTGCTCAAGGTTACTTATGTTGCGGCTTCGACTAACTCATTTTTCGCGTTGCTCATACTTCACGAGTTCTTTCAGTTATATTAGCAAAGAACTGTTCCATCCTGATCATTTGCACGTAAAAGCGATAACAAATCTACTTATTGGTGTTCATGATAATCTAGGATTGCCATGGGAACTGACAATTGCAACCACTGCTATCCTAGTACGAACAGTTGTAGCCGTTCCATTGTATATCTACGCTGAGAGGAACCAAGCTAAAGTTTCACATATTGCCATTGAATGTCAACAAAACCGACAGATGATGCAAGCGAAACTTAGTAATTCTGAGTGTTATCGTAATTTGAGTAATAAGAGAAAATTAGTGCTTGAAAATCAACTGGTAGGGTTCTTTGAATAAATACATACTTCAAGTTCAGACGTGTCTTCATTGAAACATGCGAAAAAAATGGATGTCACCCATTGAAATCGTCAGTTACAGGAATAATCCAAATCCCATTGTGGCTCACATTCACATTCTCTATCAGATACTTGAGTGGATTCCAACTGTATCCGCAATCCGATTCCAATAATCGTAAGTCTCGTGACTTATTGGTCTTTAACAGTTTGTCACTTGTGTACTCGAAAACACTCTCATCTTAGAATATGTGGGAGCACAATGTGCTATTCCCAGTAGGTCTCACGCGCTAGATATGACGTTTTATAAATCAATATTATTTTACGAAGAACGTTCGTCAACCACAAATTTTTGTTTGATTTAAACCTTTCTCAGAGCCATTCCTTCTAGGATACTATAAAAGCAAGGATTCCTCTACGCACTAAAAGTTCCTTAAGTAAATATTACTAATTTGCACAGCATGTTACATTGTATAAGGAAGTAATATTTCAGCAAACGCAATACATGCAAACTTCGGGAGTTATTAGCAATCGTATCTCAAAGATTAGGCATAACGAGTCCTCAGCATCCCATAATTACTTGGTTTGCAATCATTGTTGGTAAAAGTACGGACCAGCATTTAATAACATGCTGTGTTCTCGAAAAAAATTGAAGATATGTATCAATGCTTCAATTCCTAGTCCCAAGTTACATATGAATGTTTATCACCATATGTTTGTGGTTCAGTGAAGTAAGAATCATAAGTTTACCTATAAAGCCATCTACTTGTGAGCTAGTTTCAAAAAGGCTCGTCAGTTTACTGTCACATGGTCCCTGTTACACAGAGCAATGCCCAGTGTAACTGTACGATCTCACCAGGTAGTGATTAAAATTTCGATGATATTGACAACGATTTTAATTTGCAACAGGCCACTGTTCTCGCTTCTGTCAGTTATTAATAGTTGTATTCTTAAGGTTGCTCGTGATTCAATTCTCCATCGTTGGTAAAAAGACAAACCAATATAGCAGCGCAGGTTTACATCTCCAAAAATAAGATCACTCGTAAAAGTGAGACAAAACATCCGGACTACAAAATCAAGTGAATAAGTTTTGTTGCGACTGATTTCTTAATGGTGTTTTTTATTTCACTTAATAGTGATTGCCGATCCGTCTCTCAACGTTCCGTGCTCAAGTTTCCTGCTTCCCTCCATATGTACGTTAGCCGGATTGGCAAATGTAGAACTGGCGTGTTTAAGACGACCTCTGTTCTTCAATCCGAAATCTAATTCTGTAATACCAGATCCTTTACCTTATAATGCTGTGCGGTTTGTTGGTTGGGTTGGAAATCTCGCTCTTTTCGCGTGTTGCAGCTTTTTTCCAAAAGTAGGTTGGTTACATTATGTGTTAATATCCTAGGCATTTGTGATTTATTGGTGTACATCTTCAATTCACCAACTATGTATACATCTTTTGATAATGCACCCTTGTTTACGAAGACTGCTTGGTTTATGGACCATACCCCATGAAGGACATTATCCGTATAAAGTTCTACTTAACTCGATGTATCATCGCTATAACATATCAAAATGGTTGCAAAATAAAAAGTCATAAGTAACGATTAGTTGCAATTTTTTATTATTTGTGTCGCAAGTAGCTGGCTATACACTTCTGACTAACTTATTTTTATGTATTATTCATTAGTACTCCTAAAAGTGGTACCAGGAATCACAAGATAAATAAAACATACGTATAGGAAATAATTTTGTTGAAATCTTCATCTCCAAACTAAAGAAAACTTAACATGCTAATAATGCTGAGATAGTTGTAAAAGTTAAACGTAATGAAAGGATTGTCATAAAACTTGTTGGTCTGATTGTAAACTTCGTATAACATCACATAATCCAAATTGAAGTGGCATCTAGTTATATCTACCAGATGTCTATTAGTCGGTGACGAATTGAATCATCAAGATAAAAGAATAGAATAACCTAGAAAACCAGGTTAGAAATGTTGAATCAAAATTAGTGCTACAGCCAGTGAATACGCTGGCGTCTTCAATGAACCACTGAGATAAGTTTACGGAATAACTTAGTTGTAAAAGCTTTATTCTCATAACAATGAAGTGTGAGGAAACCAATTTTAATGAACATGGGTAGTAATACCATAAAAGATACAATGTTAAGTGATGCGGCACATGCTACTGAGAAAATTTCGGAGAAATAGACAAAAACCTATTGTATGTACATTTCTCTCAAAGCGAATCGAAGAACCTATTAAAGCACGACGAGATTTGTTCGAAAAATGCCTCAGTTCCTTCATGAAATCAAGGTTAGCAGAATTACTAAGAATATGTAGATCAGGAACTACTGTCTAATAAAGTGGGGATCTCCGTCTGATGAGTGGAAGGTAGTTGAATTCAGACTAATTTAAACGTCACCTCAAATCAGACTTGCTATGTCGTACTGCTTACAAATTATTTATAGCATGGTGTGATCAAAGTTATCATCTGCAGCGATCCGTTTATCTACGTCACTGTTTAATTAGTTTATGGACAGCTTAAAACTATAAACCGAAACGTTAAATGTCTGTCTATTACCTATTTCCAACTTTGAAATAATTAAAAACTACCGTCAGTTATTTCAATACTGGTATATTGTTGAAAAACACTTAAAAATAAAACTGTACATTTCTCCTTCCATTTTACAATCCAGATGTGTTAAATTAATTCTCCACACCGAGAAATAATAACGGGTTCTTTGACCTTACCAGATTTCGATCCAACGGACTACAAAACCATTTGAAAATTTATTTAGTACAATATGGAAATCGAACATGTTATACAGTAGTAACTTTTTAAAAAGACGTGTTACCAAGCAATTGAATCGCATGCAGAAATGGAGACCATTTCCAAATAAATTACAGGAAACATCCGCAGTAAGGTACAGTGAGAACTGATAAATACCCTTTTTGTTGATACAGTAAAACTATTCTATACACCATAAATCTGACGTAGTAGATATATGGTAGTCTAACATTAAGCGGCTAGTAATTAAAAAAGAAATGTATCAACGGCAAATGCAACTAACATTTTTGGGAATATTTTAAGCGTGTTAGTGCATTTGAATTTCTTACTTCATCCAAACGGTGCCTAAAACTCATTACCAACATTAAATAAATTATGTCAATAATTGTTAAGGAGATAAGAACTAACCTCCATCTTTTTTACGACATTTTGTCCATCCACTACTCGACCAAAAACAACATGTTTGCCATCAAGCCTATAAAAAGACGTTTAAATAATTTAATAAGTGTCTGAGACCGTTTGTACATTTATAAACAGAAAATTTTGAGTCACTAAAAATAGGTTTTGTTGTTGAGGTTTTATGAATATTCATTTAATTGTAGTGAAGTTCAAAATCAAGAGAATACTAAGATCGTTTTTAAATGTTGATAATTTGGGGTCCTATTACTCTGGATAACATCCTTCAACTTGAGGTTCGTGTGAAGAAAGATATTAAATGTCTACTTTAGGTAAATAAAATTTCGTAGCATGAAGCAATAAAGTTATTTGGTGTATGAAAACCATACCAATAATTCTGTGGCTGCACGTTGGATGTAGCAAAATCGTTCTAAAACGTCAGCCCCAGGTTTTCCTGTATGCTTTATGAATGACCTCCTTGCAATCCCTTTACTGAGGAATCCTAACGCCATGATAGAATGAAAGTTAGTTTACGACTTGGAATATCCTTGGTTAGCATCTCTTTGCACAGGACTAATAACAGTATCTTAAAATCTACAAACCCAAATGCTTTGAGATGTAGTTTCAAGTGCATTTTCTGTTTGTGTTTCAAATGACTAGTAACATTTAAGTTATATCGCTCGATATATAACAAACGTCACATTACAGTGCTGTTTTTTCGCTTTGGCAATAGGGCATGTCAGTCAGCTACAACGTAGGACCAGGCACATTTATGCATCGGTCCAAGTTGCCATACCTCATTAACACAACAAGATGGACACCGGATTCATAAAAGTAGTTAATTCAGAGGTGGTAATATATAAAATAAAGATTGCAATAAGGATATAGTACAGGAAGAAAGAATTAGTTCGTAGAAAGAAAGATATGAAGCAATTTTAATCTCTTAGTTTAAGGGAAGACAGAGAGTGTATACACCGACGCCACTGTGATCGATTCTGAACCATGTCACCAAGAGTCTCCAACCATTGGTTACGATAGTCACGCGGACCCCAACCAAGTAGTCTGCATCTACCAACATGGCTCAGACTAGAAGTTAGTGACTTCAAGCACTGATACCACATTTTGGTTTGGCCGCCCCTAAATTTCTTCCAACCATCTCCAACACCGGTTAGCACTGCACGTCGTGGTAATCGGTGTTCAAGCATACGTAACACGTGGCCCAACCATCTCAGTCGATGAAGATTCATAACCTCATCAACTGATTTACCATCATTCCCTAATACCCTACGTCTAACCTCACTATTACTTACCCGGTGATCCCAGCAGATGCCAGCAATATTTCTAAGGCATCTGTGGTCAAATACTTGTAGCTTACGGGTGTCTTCTACTCTTAAAGGCCATGTTTCGCTGCCGTAAAGTAAGACAGAACGGACTGCCGCGCATTATACTCGTCCTTTTATTGATAGACGGATATCTCGCCTCCGCCAAAGGTGACGTAAGTTGGCAAAAGCCAAACGAGCTTTTCGAATCCGTGCTGAGATTTCGTCAGACACCAACCCATTAGGGCTGATCAGACTTCCAAGATAAGTGAAGTTGCCAACGCGTTCGACCACTTCACTCCCTATCCTTAGTTCAGGTGTTGACGCAAACCAGTCCTGAAGCAACAACTTGCATTTAGAGGGAGAGAAGTGCATTCCAAACATTCTGGTATTGTTGCTTAGTGCTACCAAAAGACTGCATTTTATCAGCGTCTTCTTTAAACAGGACTATATCATTGTGTATTCTAAGTCGACAAACGGACCTCCTGGTAGGAGATCAATTCCCGAAAATTCAGTCAACGAGAACATTATTTCCATCAGTTGATCTATGATGAAATTGAACAAAAATGGAGATAGTGGACAGTCTTGACGAACACCACTTGAGGTTGCAAAGACAGATGACAGCTCGCCATAAGCTCTGACTCGACTAATAGTGTTCTAGTAAAGAACCTTCACGAGGTTTATGTACTTCTGAGGTACGCCTTTCAATGACAGACACTGCCACAGAATCTCGCGGTCTACGGAATCAAATGCTACTTTTAAGTCAAGAAAGACCACAATTGTCGGACGCTGGTAAGTATGCCTGTGTTCTAGAATCTGACGAATGGTGAATATGTGGTCGATGCAGCCACGACCAGGTCTAAAGCCAGCTTGATTCTCTCGTGTCTGCAGTTCACGAGTCTTAGTTAAGCGTCTGATAATTATCGAGGCTAGTATCTTAGATACTATATTAGTTAAACTAATCCCTCTATGGTTGTCACAGGATGATTTTGACCCTTTCTTATATATTGGGACGATAAGTGATTGTGACCAGTTAGATGGGATAACCTCTAACTCCCAGGTCTTAGCTAAAATAATAGTCAACGTAATCGCTAAAATTGGACCACCATCCTTAAAGACCTCTGGAGCCAATCCATCTGGACCAACTGCTCTTCCTCGTTTCAGATTAGCTATAGCCTCTTGAACTTCAGCAAGAGTTGGGGGACCTACTTCAATGTTCCATTCACACTGTCTGGGAATGGATGGTAGTTGTAGAGTAGCTGAAGGCCAGTTGAACTGTTCTCTGAAATGTTCCGCCCATCGTTCTAAACGTCTGGACTGGGAGCAGATGAGAGTATCGTCTTTTTCTGATATAATCTCACTTACACTTGACTTATTAATTCCAGTTTCTTTTATTAGTCTGTGGGCTGTCTTGTGTTCCCTATAGCCGCCGCTTTTTCTATCTCTTTTGTTTTCGTTGCCCACCACTGCTCACGGTCGTTCCTTAGACTTTTGCTTAACCTAGATCTGAATTGTTGTCGTTGTTCATCGTGTTCAGAGCCTGATGGGATGAGTTTACGAGAATCCATCAGTGCAATAGACCTAGAGGAAATCTATTGGTTCTTTGTAAACCTGTGGTTTAAATCACTGATAGATGTCACTGCTGTTTCCACAGCTGTTTGTATAGCTTTCCAAGCAACATCAGGGTCAGCCTCGTTTTCAGAACTACCTAAGTGTGACCTCAGTTGTTCCTGGAACCTACTTTTGGTTTACTCGCTGCTCAGTTCAGTTCTAATGGGTCTTTTTACTGTGGCTTTTTTGCGTCCAGTGAGGTGCAAGCGGATGCGTGACCGTATTAGGGCGTGGTCGGAGTCCAAGCAGGTACTCCAGAATGAGCGACAATCTTCTACCGACCCTCTCCAACGATGACTGATGGCAACATGGTCTATTTGAGTCCATCGTTGGTATGTACATATTTCTGGTACTTCTTAGATTATCACATACCACTTACGAGTCATACTTAATACAAATATATGATAGAAAAAATCTACTTTTTAATTATCCCCAATGGAATCATTTTTAACAAACAACACAAGCTAAGAAGCGACATCAGAAAAACGATGTCACTCCAGCTGATTATGGAGAATGGGGACATAAATGAGGCTCGTCGATATATATAAAAGCTTACCAATCGCATTTTGTTGTGCAAATGAAGAACTGAGATCCATTTGTATTTGGTCCAGAATTCGCCATGGAAAGAACACCTAAGAGAAATAATGCAACTGATGTGAGACAAGCAATAAAGCCCACCTAAAATGACCACATAAGCACAGAGATACAACCAGGTAGTCTACACCTACCAATATAGCTCAGCCCACTTGTCAGTGGCTTCATGGGTTTGTGCCATGTTTTGTCTGGCTGCCCCTAACTTTCTCCCAACCTACTCCTATGCCATTGAATATCGCACGTCGGGGCAGTCGGTGGTTGGGCATACGTAACACGTGTCCCAGCCATCCCAACTGATGAAGTTTCACTACTTCATCAATTGATTTGCCACCCTTACCCAGTGCCCGTTTCCTAACAACTGCGTTACTTACTCGATGGTCCCAGGATATACGAGCGATGTTTCGAAGACATCTATGATCAAATACTAGTAACCTACGGATATCCTCTACTCTTACCGACCATGTTTCACTGCCATAAAGTAGGACGGAACGAACTGCTACGCAGTAGGCTAGTCGAGTCTTCTGTATCCGTGCTGAGATTTTGTCACACACCAGACCATAAGGGCTGATGAGACTTCCGAGATAAGTGAAGCGATCGACACGCTCAATCGCTTCACTCCCTATCATTAGTTCGGGTGTCGATGCAATTTAGATGAGGAAAGTGTTATCACTAAAAGCATGTCTACGATAAAGTTAAACAAGAATGGGGAGAATGAACAGTCCTGACGAACACCACTTGAGGTGATCAATTCTGATGACAGTTCGCCTTAAGCTCTCACTCTACCAGTTGTGTTCGAGTAGAGAGCCTTTACAAGGTTAATGTACTTCTCTGGTACTCTTTTCAGTGACAAACACTGCCATAGAACCTCACGATCAACGGAGTCAAGTGCCGCCTCAAGGTCGAGAAATACTACGATTGTGGGGCGTCTGAATGTGTGTCTATGTTCTAGGACCTGACGTAGTGTGAATATCTGGTCTATACAACCACCTACAGGTCGAAAACCAGCTTGATTTTCTCTAGTCTGTTCTTCACGACCTTTGGTTAGGCGTCGAAGTATTATTGAAGCTAATATTTTAGACACTATATTAGTCAAACTGATTCCTCTGTGATTGTCACAAGAGGACTTTTGTCCTTTCTTATAGACTGGCACAATCAGTGATTGAAACCAGTCAGATGGGATTATGTCCAGTTCCTAGATTCTACCTAAGACCTCAGTCAATGTCACTGCTAATACTGGACAACCATCCTTAAAAATCTCAGGGGTAAACTTGTCAGGGCCTGCTGCTCTCCCTCGCTTCAGATTTCCTATAGCTTTTTCAGCTTCGTAAAGAGTCGAAGGACCTACATTAACTTGCCATTCAGGTAGACTGGAGATCGTGGGAAACCGAAGTGTGGCTGAAGGCCAGTTGAACTGATCCGTAAAGTGTTCTGCCCATCGATCCAATCTCCTGCATTGAGAATGTATAATATGTCCGAGAGATGGTGCAACACAGTGGTTAGAGACGTTATCAGATATGGCTCAAAATAGAAGCCAGTGGCGATCCTGCTGTAAACTTCTTTTACTTTCTTCATAAGCAGTGGTTGTAACTTCCTTAACTGAAAGAATTCTTTCTGGCGGTACCTTTCCGTTTCCTCCATTATTATCATTGTTATTTCACTTCCATACGCTAACCTGTGGTCGTTATTGTTCTCTGTATGTTTTTCTTATACGCACCTTACATTCTTTTTCGCTTCCCATTTTCATTGTTTTGTGTGGCGCATATATATCTGGTGCCCCCTTGTACCAATATTTATGTGTTCAAATAAAAAGGCAAACCAAGATATGGTATCAATACACAAAGTACATGCCAGGTAATATTATCTAATATATGTAAATAAACTGGGCTGGTAGGCTCTTTGAAGAAATGCTAGGCAGATGATTATTAGACTCGTATTTCATTATGAACAACATACAAACCAAAAACAGATGATTTAGTTGATGTCAAAACCTCATACGAGTTAGATTAGAGAAGCGTTTATCAACAGTTCTACATTTTTTATATTGAACATTTTAAAAAAAGGTAGGAACACATTAATAGGACCAAAAGATAAACACACTCACCGAACCCTTCATGTCGGAGTTGGAAGTTTTCATCATCGAATTTACGTCCATATATTGATTTGCCACCGGTCCCATCCCCTTTTACAAAATCGCCTCCTTGACACATCTGATAAGACACGCATTATCAAGGATATAGTATAAAATCTGAAATATTTCATTCATTTAGAGGTAAATAAATTAAAACAAAACAATCAGCTAATGGGTTTTGATGTTGATGAGTAACGATGTTGAAAAGCAACTTTAATATGGGCTTGCGTTGAAAACAAAGGCTACCTCCCGTACTACGATCTAAAGTCTGAGGCATTTGACCTAAGAGACTTTACTGTCAACTAAGAATTAGTTTTCCCCAAGTTTTTTAACTTTACACATTAATGTCGGTAATATGCAAGATGTCTGGATTTATCTCACATCAACAGCTGTTCGGCTAAGTCTCCAGCCTGATTGTTTTACATAAATATCTGTCAATTTCCTTTAAGAATGCGAAAATTACGTAAAGGCATTTAAATACATTAGGTCATGGATACGAATTGTGGTATAACTCGATGGAAACAACAATTGTGATAACCGAATCCACGTTCTCCTGTACACAAGGCACGGAAGTTCTCAGCAGTTCTCGGAACAATATCTGACCGAAGCTCCATCACTATACGACCAGCATCTCCGTTTCCAATTCGAATATCGAAGAATACCCGAGGAAGATTTCGTTTTTGTTTTTTGGTTCGCATTTCTTCGTCACTCTGTGAAAATTGAGTACATAAGTAAAGGTAAAATTGGTATACACGTTAAACTGTAATGATATGCAGAAATACTTGTAGTAGTATCATAATAGTTCTAAAATATAACAGTGCTTGAATTAATTAGAAACAAACACTAAGTAGGGAAAAGGACTGAAACTTAGATAACTATCAACCTTTTATGCAGACAGAATGGCGATTTTCTCCAAGTCATCTGAAATGTATGAAGCTACATGCGTGGAAAGAATCAGTATGATATAATAGCACGTATTTTAAGTTCTTTTTCTAGTAATCGTACCACCTAATGAAAACTGACTTTAGAACTGTATTCGATAATTTTGATGTTTGATTATAATTTCTTGAAAAAGCTTGGACCAGATTGCCAGGTGAAACGTTGGATTTACTCCAAACCCATTCACTGAGATTTTACAAATACATTCTTCCTCTTTAATGTCTCACATCAACTCGGCGCCCAAATATTGTGAAACTATTTGATCAAATCTATACAAAAGTTCTTATAAAAAACCAAGAACGGTTTGGAAAATTGTCTTAGTTACTGAAATAATCCGACACTTTTACTGAAGATCATTTTCGAGAAAATCGAAAAGATCGTCAAGCGTTATACTGATGTGATAAATTACCAATGAATCATATTGGTTAACAGTACATATTCATCGTTGCACTTGTGTTATTAAGCACAGCAATCCATACGAAAAGCCTTTAAAAAAATTTAATAATACTTTATTGATCAGCTTACTCTGTAAGAAAAAACCTAAAGTTCGGAAACCAAACATGTTGATTACATACAATATTACAAGTAATAATATCCTAATCAACATGGTTGGAGTGAACATTTTCAATTCCTACTTGTGTTTATCAAGTAAAATTACTCAGTAAACAGAGTAGAGTGGAAAATTTTGAATATAATTCGTGGATACTTAACACCACGTATTGGTAAAATCAAACTTATTCGAAGGCTTCACGAACTCCGATCATACTTAGAAACCGTTCAATAAACTTAAAAAGCATTAAGATATATTCGTTATATATATATATATATATATTACTGGATTTCAATTGCTTTGTGAGTGACGGATGAAGAATATAGTTAGTATGACATAGCGCGTTTGTGCTGTTGCGAAGTGTAGCATTTCGAACTAATGATATGTCTATGAGATTTTCCATGCGTAGATTACATCATAAACAATTTAATTAAATTTTTTTAAAACTTACCAAGTCTTCAACATTTTCTGCAGAATCTGATGGGTTGACGATATCAGGTTCATCCAGTTTTCGTCCTTCTAATGGAGCACTGCCATATTTCTTTAACCAATTCTCGTCCGACCAGACTTAAAATGTGAATTTCAATATAGAAATATGTAGGGAACATTTTATTGAAATCATAATCCATGGGGATATTTATATATAAATTTTACTAAACGTTGGAGAGTCAGCTCTCCCTATCGAAATGTCCTCACATGGCCACGCGTATACAGCCACTGCCAGGGAAGTTCTACTGACTAATTGTGTGTAGTTTACGAAATAAAGAGAACGAAAAACGAATGTCCGGTGCTTTAACCGGGTTGATGGGTACGGAGATCCACTCAGAAGAGATGGCAAACCCTGACTCCAAACCAGTGGTGCACATGGGCTCCAGGATCCTGAGGGAACAAATGGCGTATGAGCCTATTGTTCATCACCGACCACCACGGGACTGCATCTCCTAACGTCGCCCCACTACCTAGTGGATTAGACCTTCAGGTCGAATACGGCCCCCTAAGAAGATCATCTGCTTCCGTTTGGGCACCAAGGTAGTATCACAGCCCTCACACAAATCAATGGTAACTACACCCGGAAAGTTTCCTCTTGCTTCGACGCTCAGACAACTCTTAACATTCATATGATAACATACGTTTTTATTTCTTTCATACCACACACTAATGCAGATCAGACAACACATAGGATTGCTAACTTTTTAGAGAGTATTAATCTCGATATCTGTTACCTATCACAGACACGTATTCAATACTCTAGTGAGGTACCACAAACCCATTCTCCATCTGTCGTTTCGAAAAGCTTGTTTCTCATATGTTTGCCCGGGGATCCTGTGGCATTTTCGTCTGGTCTTGCTGGTGTCTGTGTCGCACTAAGCGCTAGGGCTGAAGCAGCACTAATCAATTGGATCCCCATTAACAGTTGGTCATGTGCGGTTACACTACAAAGTTTCATCAAAGTGCGAAGAAATTGGTGTGAGAAACGATATCTTTTCGTTATCTCCGCCTACGCTCCGACAGATTGCAGCCTGGATGCAATCAAGGATGAATTCCACCACCAGTTAACTGTTCTTCTCCAGAAAGTGCGTTCGACAGATATTGTAGTGCTAGTCAGAGACTTGAATGCTCAGGTCGGGCGTCTAGGCACAGAAAAGAGTCGTTTAGGTGGCCGATGGGGAATTGTTGGTCGCAGGACGGATAACGGGGACCGTCTACTGCAACTGTGCACAGACCACAACCTGTTTCTGGCTCGCACTAACTTCCGGCACAGTCATCGCCGATGTGCCACCTGGCGTGGTTGTGTACAAGACTGCTGCTCCTTTTGGAGTATCTATTTGGACTCCGATCATGCCCTGGTCTGCGCCAATCTCACCTTACTTTTCAGTGGACAACGAAATGACCGCCACCAACGGATTGATGTCAGCAAGTTGGTTGCGGCTTATGTTGCAACTATATATCAAACCGAGCTAGGTCCAAGGTTAGCTATCATACCATCAGAAAGTATAGATGAGCACTGGTTGCAATCGCATGACGCCATGAAAATGACGATTTAAGTCGCTTGTGAATTCGCGAAACTTCACCCTTATAAGCACTGGGTTTCTTCAGGCTCCTTACAACTCACTGAAACCCGACGGTATACTCCGAGTGACCGTGAAATTGACCATGAACGAAGACTGTTACGCAATTAAATTAGGCAAAGCTTGCGTAAGGACCGAGAAGCCTGGTGGTCGGAGCGTGACAATTAGTTGGGAGCGGCAGCTGCATCTGGTAACTACCGGAAGCTCTTCCAACTCATCCGAGCCACTGGCAGCAAAAAGTCTGGTGTGAGCGAAACAATCTGTGAAGATGACGGGATGCCAATCACTAGCGTCCACCGACGTCCTGGACGATGGGCAGAGTTTTTCGAGAGACAGTTCAGCTGATCTGTTGCTGCGACAAAATCGATCAAACTGCCCTGCTCTCCATACCCTGTGACGACTGATCCACCTAACAAGGCCGGAGTCCTCAAAGAACCCCAAATCTTGAAGCGCTACAAATCACCAGGTTCAGATGACTAACCTCCTGCCCCATTTTAAAGATGATAGTAACTTTCTGGTTAAGGAACTGCAACGTTGTTTAGAAAGGTCTGGGAGCTAGAGAGTGTACCAACGTCATGGAACGAGTCGATAGTTATTTCTATCTTTAAGCAGGGTTCTGCAACAACTATCGGGGGATAATTCTACCTCCGATCGCATCCGAACTGTTGGCTTCTACCATACTTCGTAGGTTGTTCAAAAACCGAGAACGATTAGCTCGCAGGGAGCAGGCTGGTTTTCGTTCCGGTCGAGGATGTATTGATCATATCTTCACCCTCCGCCAAATGTTAGGACACCGTCATACTTATCACAGGCCAACAATCATAATGTTTCTTGACATTAGGGCTGCCTTCTATTCGTTGGACAGGACTGTTCTCTGGGATTGTCTATTGAAGTAGGGTGTGCCTGAGAAGTTTATCAACATCCTAAAGGCCCTATATGCAAACACCTCAGGCAGATTAAGGGCATACAACCACCTTTCTCCATTGTTCCACTCAAGCAGTGGGGTTAGGCAGAGTTGCTTAATCTCACCATCCCTCCTCAACATTGCTATGGATCACGTTCTAGAAACAGCTGTGATGGATGTAAGTAATGGCGGTGTGGATCTGTTTACTGGAGAAAGACTTCTCGACCTTGAGTATGTGGATGATATTGTCTTACTGTGCGATAATGCCAAAGCCATGCAATCCGCACTTAATCAGTTAGAAATCAGTGTCCGTAGGTATGGTATGTGCTTTGCACCTTCGAAATGCAAAGTACTTCTAGAAGACTGGCAGGATTCTCATCCTGTACTCACCCTGGATGGTGAGCAGATAGAAGTAGTCGAGAAGTTCGTGTATCTAGGTAGCAGCATAAGAGCACGTATAGTGAAAGCCAGAGCGGCTTATGTCAATCTGGGCCATCTTTGGCGCCTTCGTGATGTTAGTCTGGCTGTAAAAGGTCGGACCTACAACGCGTCGGTGAGAGCAGTTCTGCTCGATGCCTATTAAGCCTAGCGTCTCCGAGTTGAAGATGTTAGACAACTCTGTGTTCGATCATCGTTGTCTCCGAAGTATTGCTGGTATCCAGTGGCAACACCATGTTAGTAATGCAGAGGTTCGGCATCGTGTGTTCGGGTGTAGCGACGGTAATTCAATTGATGTCATCATCCTGAAACAGCGACTTCGATGGCTGGAACAAGTCTTACGAATGTTGTCCAGGAGAATTCCATATCGTGCATTACTTGCCGACACCTGGACCGGTTGGAAAAGCGGAAAGGTGGTCAGTGTATGACATGGTGTTGTGGTATGAAAGACAGCCGCAAAGGGTTGGTTTCTGTTGGTCCTTCTCGACTCCCTGGCTGTGGTCTGAGAGATGGTGCAACACGGCTAGAGACGTTATCATATATGGCTCAGAATAGAAGTCAGTGGCGATCCTGCTGTAACCTTCTTTTACTTTTTTCATAAAAGTAAATGTAACTTCTTTAAGTGAATGAGTTCTTCCCGGATATATTTTTGCTAACTGAACTGTTTCTCCCATTGTTTTCATTATTTCACTCTCATACACTAATTTTTATTCGTTGTAGTTCTTTTATTATACGCACTTTGCATTCTCTATCTCTTCATAACCTCGTTGTTATTGTGTGGCACATATGTAATTGATGCCCCATTGGACCGATGTTTATGTGTTCAAATAAATAAATAAATACACAGTATAGGCTTGAGACAGTGTGATCAACTTGCAGCAATTTTATTACACCAACAAACAGTAATGCCTGACGAGGTGAAATTATTTGAGGGTGACCGTTCCCATATGAATAAATAAGACTAATGACTGAAAACATTCAAGACTCTAACACTTTGAAGAAAGTTAGTTATAGACGTAGAAATCAACAAATGTTATGCCAGAATTTACCAACTGTTATACAAAAGGTTGGCAATTTAAGTCATTGGAGACGTAACAATATAAAGGTATAATACGAACAAGCTACACATAACTGGAAGTACACTATATGGCTGACTGATTGTCTAAATAAAATGTGATTTAAATTATCTTGAAATTGAATAGTCTCAAAAATTTCGCACCACGACAATAATAATTGAAAAAAAACATTACCAGGTCGACTCCAACCCTCCCGTATGCGTACTGGTCTTGCCACATTAACACGGATGGTACGCCCGAATATTTCACTTTCATTCTATAAGAAAGATTGAGAAGACATTATAATGGTTTCACCAAAGAGTAGTTTATCTCTTTGATAGGAAATCAAGTAAAAGTACAATAGCAATAAGCCAATCAAAATATTCAAAGACAAACGACTTTTATCTGATATCACAATCAACAGAAGTACCTTTGTGCAATGCACAAAATGATAACGAATATTGTTCCTCACTATAAATTAAATACGATAGCGTTAAACAAATTAAGTGCTCAATTCTTTCTATGTTGACTGCATTTAACAGGCGGATCAACACTCTTCTAAATTGAAGTCCTTATCCTTAAATTCCAAATCGTAATTTTCTAACTCGAACAACAATTACCTGACCTAAAATTTCCAACTCTAACCCTTAACAGTGAAGGGCTCGTGAGAATCGATGTGTCCTTATAAGGGTTTGAGAAGATGAATAATCTATATCAGCAAAGATGGCTCTACGATGCTTTTTTAACTTACAAACAGAAAAACTAATAGGTTTACTAATCATACAAAAATTTGTTTGATTCGTGTAATATTGTTGTCAACTTCCCATAAACTGTTGTTTTTGGGTTGACTGACAACTGGTTATAATTCGTAACAGTTGTTCTGAGCTCATCACCAATATTATACTTATATCGAAAATTTATACTAAACCCATAGAGGGTTCAAAATATTGTGTTCGAATCCCATAAGAAAGAAGAAACGACTTCATTTCGTTGTTTAGCAACCTAAGCTGGACGGCTTCGCGAATGTCTTGTAAGATGCCACTACGACAAACAAAAGTGTCATCCGTTTTGTTTTTAAGGTGTTGGATACGGTCACTAAAAGTGATAAATATTTCCTTACACATGACCCCAAAGTACTTCTCTTGTAGCGAGAGAAAACGATGTGTTTAAATTATCTGATGAACCCCGGTCGACTGGAATGATCAAGGCTTTATACTTGAGTGAGGTGCTGATAGTTATTTGTTTGGACGGCATTAGTGCCAAGCACAAAATGTGTCCGAAACATCGCATCTCATATTTTTGAGAGACTTTATCACGCCCATAGATACATTGTGAAACCTCAGTATAGCACGAGTAGATATCTCAGGAGACCAATCAGTAGTTGAAAACAATATATTACTGCACTAGTTTCATGTATTGAGTGAATTACACATTTGGCAAATAAAAAAATCCTCCACAATAGTAATATGAGTCGACACAAAATTTACGTAATTTCAGTTGATATCATGTTAGCTAAATAAAGTATATCTCCTACGATAGTTCCCTTAAGTTGGTCGGACTAAATTTTCCACCTCACCAATATTACCTGCAGGTTAGAATTTAAGAAAGTCTAATAAAATCGGAAATTTAAATCTAGATTTCGATTATTATACGTGTCTGCACCATAAGTGATGATAAACCACCATAAATAACAAGGCGAGACTTTGTCTTATCATTATTAAGTTTGGTTGATGAACATTAATAATAATAAAGTATACCTATAACTATGACATCCCGAACACACACGTTGAGTTGAGAACATGAAATTCAACGTAGAAGAACCAAAACACTTCAGACTGTACAACCAATACCCGCTTCGTAACTGTTATCCATTAACCAGTAGAAGCTTCACAGTGCCCAGCTTAATACATAGTCCAAATTAAGCTACTGAATGTTAATTTAAGTCATTTTAATAAACGTGGATACAACTAGTAGAGTTTGTGAGGAGTGTTATAAACACTAGTAAATATGCACTCCTGTTTTGCCAAAACCCCATACCAAACTACACTGGTTTTACAACCTTGGCTCTCCGTCAAATGTTTGGTCATACTACTTTTGACTACCTTGAAGTATGCTATCTAGAGATTTTTATTTTATTTTATTTGAACACATAAATATTGGTAAAAGAGGGCACCAAATATATATGCGCCATACAAAACAATGAGAATTCGAAGAGAAAAAACAACAATAACGAACAGATTACTGTAGGGTAGTGTAATGATAGTAATTAATAGTAATAATGAGGGAAACGGAAATGTACAACCAGGAAGAATTCTTTCAGTTAGAGAAGATACAACCACTTTTTATGAAGAAAGTAAAAGAAGGTTACAGCAGGATCGCCACTGACTTCTATTCTGAGCCATATATGATAACGTCTCTAGCCGTGTTGCACCATCTCTCAGACCACAGCCAGGGAGTCGAGAAGGACCAACAGAAACCAACCCTTTGCGGCTGTCTTTCATACCACAACACCATGTCATACACTGACCACCTTTCCGCTTTTCCAACCGGTCCAGGTGTCGGCAAGTAATGCACGATATGGAATTCTCCTGGACAACATTCGTAAGACTTGTTCCAGCCATCGAAGTCGCTGTTTCAGGATGATGACATCAATTGAATTACCGTCGCTACACCCGAACACACGATGCCGAACCTCTGCATTACTAACATGGTGTTGCCACTGGATACCAGCAATACTTCGGAGACAACGATGATCGAACACAGAGTTGTCTAACATCTTCAACTCGGAGACGCTAGGCTTAATAGGCATCGAGCAGAACTGCTCTCACCGACGCGTTGTAGGTCCGACCTTTTACAGCCAGACTAACATCACGAAGGCGCCAAAGATGGCCCAGATTGACATAAGCCGCTCTGGCTTTCACTATACGTGCTCTTATGCTGCTACCTAGATACACGAACTTCTCGACTACTTCTATCTGCTCACCATCCAGGGTGAGTACAGGATGAGAATCCTGCCAGTCTTCTAGAAGTACTTTGCATTTCGAAGGTGCAAAGCACATACCATACCTACGGACACTGATTTCTAACTGATTAAGTGCGGATTGCATGGCTTTGGCATTATCGCACAGTAAGACAATATCATCCACATACTCAAGGTCGAGAAGTCTTTCTCCAGTAAACAGATCCACACCGCCATTACTTACATCCATCACAGCTGTTTCTAGAACGTGATCCATAGCAATGTTGAGGAGGGATGGTGAGATTAAGCAACTCTGCCTAACCCCACTGCTTGAGTGGAACAATGGAGAAAGGTGGTTGTATGCCCTTAATCTGCCTGAGGTGTTTGCATATAGGGCCTTTAGGATGTTGATAAACTTCTCAGGCACACCCTACTTCAATAGACAATCCCAGAGAACAGTCCTGTCCAACGAATAGAAGGCAGCCCTAATGTCAAGAAACATTATGATTGTTGGCCTGTGATAAGTATGACGGTGTCCTAACATTTGGCGGAGGGTGAAGATATGATCAATACATCCTCGACCGGAACGAAAACCAGCCTGCTCCCTGCGAGCTAATCGTTCTCGGTTTTTGAACAACCTACGAAGTATGGTAGAAGCCAACAGTTCGGATGCGATCGGAGGTAGAATTATCCCCCGATAGTTGTTGCAGAACCCTGCTTAAAGATAGAAATAACTATCGACTCGTTCCATGACGTTGGTACACTCTCTAGCTCCCAGACCTTTCTAAACAACGTTGCAGTTCCTTAACCAGAAAGTTACTATCATCTTTAAAATGGGGCAGGAGGTTAGTCATCTGAACCTGGTGATTTGTAGCGCTTCAAGATTTGGGGTTCTTTGAGGACTCCGGCCTTGTTAGGTGGATCAGTCGTCACAGGGTATGGAGAGCAGGGCAGTTTGATCGATTTTGTCGCAGCAACAGATCAGCTGAACTGTCTCTCGAAAAACTCTGCCCATCGTCCAGGACGTCGGTGGACGCTAGTGATTGGCATCCCGTCATCTTCACAGATTGTTTCGCTCACACCAGACTTTTTGCTGCCAGTGGCTCGGATGAGTTGGAAGAGCTTCCGGTAGTTACCAGATGCAGCTGCCGCTCCCAACTAATTGTCACGCTCCGACCACCAGGCTTCTCGGTCCTTACGCAAGCTTTGCCTAATTTAATTGCGTAACAGTCTTCGTTCATGGTCAATTTCACGGTCACTCGGAGTATACCGTCGGGTTTCAGTGAGTTGTAAGGAGCCTGAAGAAACCCAGTGCTTATAAGGGTGAAGTTTCGCGAATTCACAAGCGACTTAAATCATCATTTTCATGGCGTCATGCGATTGCAACCAGTGCTCATCTATACTTTCTGATGGTATGATAGCTAACCTTGGACCTAGCTCGGTTTGATATATAGTTGCAACATAAGCCGCAACCAACTTGCTGACATCAATCCGTTGGTGGCGGTCATTTCGTTGTCCACTGAAAAGTAAGGTGAGATTGGCGCAGACCAGGGCATGATCGGAGTCCAAATAGATACTCCAAAAGGAGCAGCAGTCTTGTACACAACCACGCCAGGTGGCACATCGGCGATGACTGTGCCGGAAGTTAGTGCGAGCCAGAAACAGGTTGTGGTCTGTGCACAGTTGCAGTAGACGGTCCCCGTTATCCGTCCTGCGACCAACAATTCCCCATCGGCCACCTAAACGACTCTTTTCTGTGCCTAGACGCCCGACCTGAGCATTCAAGTCTCTGACTAGCACTACAATATCTGTCGAACGCACTTTCTGGAGAAGAACAGTTAACTGGTGGTGGAATTCATCCTTGATTGCATCCAGGCTGCAATCTGTCGGAGCGTAGGCGGAGATAACGAAAAGATATCGTTTCTCACACCAATTTCTTCGCACTTTGATGAAACTTTGTAGTGTAACCGCACATGACCAACTGTTAATGGGGATCCAATTGATTAGTGCTGCTTCAGCCCTAGCGCTTAGTGCGACACAGACACCAGCAAGACCAGACGAAAATGCCACAGGATCCCCGGGCAAACATATGAGAAACAAGCTTTTCGAAACGACAGATGGAGAATGGGTTTGTGGTACCTCACTAGAGTATTGAATACGTGTCTGTGATAGGTAACAGACGTCAATATTAAGACTTTCCAAGGACATAGCCATCCCTATCTGTTGTCCGACGTGCATATGTATGCGAACGTTGGAGGCAGCCAGTTTGAATGCTGCGCGTGGTTTCAGAGAAACTGCTACAGTATTCCTATTTGGTGGTAGCATACAATTTTCAACCAGGCAGTGACTCGAAAACGTTTAAATAGAACCGAGTTTCCACTATAAGAGAGCTGCTGTATAAGTCAAAAAATGAGAATACACAAAGTGGTAATAAAAGAGGGTGAATAAATGACGTAGTAAATAATAATAATAATAATAATAATAATAATAATAATAATAATAATAATAATAATAATAATAATAATAATAATGTGAATTGTTTGACTGTAAATCGAAGCGAGAATAGAGTTTTCAGTAAATATCATCATTTTCATTATATTTGTGTGTGGGCTGTGATACTGCCCGGGTGCCCAGACCGAAGCAGGTAAAGTGTTGAGCTCAACGTGAAGAAAAAAATAGATTAAGGTGTAGTGATTAATCTTATCAACTGTTTGTTTAGTGATGAGAACCATGAAAATTCTAGTACTTGTTACCGAATTTTACCAATGGACCAATAACTTATTGATTCCTGACCGCCCTAATAAGGTTGACACTGGAGTACGTAAATATATACTTGCTGAATAAGTTACGCTATAATATGTTCAAAACAACTCGTAGAACGTCTCTTATGAGATGCTTAGATGTAGTGTATTAAATATATCAACATTAAAATAAATGTTGAGAGCATGACAAGGACGATAAGCTTTATTACTTTTTAAAGCATCACATTCTTTAAATTAACGTGGTACAAGAAATTTACAATTATACTAATCTCGAATTTTAAACTGATTATATTCAAAATGCCACTCTGTGCTTTAAATTTCATTGGAGTGTATGAAAATATAACTTACCATATTATCAATGGCACTCATAGCATCCTCAACTTCTTCAAATTCAACAAAAGCGAAACCTCTGTGTTTTTCTAACAGGAAATGAAAACAGAATGACATTTACCAGTTTGATAGTCCATGGGCATATTAATACTAACTATGTCTCCAAAAGGGATAAACGCCGCACGAACAAGAGGTACATCAACTTGCTCTGATAGTCCCCCTATTAAAAATTAACAATATTACCTAAATAAATGAGAGCCTACCAACATATATAACACGCTTATTGACTGGATTGTATGAACCCGCAGGGAGCTGAAGGGGTGGTAATTCAGCCTAGAATAATGAAAAGTTATTTAAAGAAGTGAGTCAATCCGAGATTTAAAATCAAGAAGTCAAAGTACAACCAATTTTTATTTCAAAAAATCCGCATAATTTACAAGAAAATCACCAAGGAAGCTGCATAGGTTGTGGATTATGCATATAACATATTATAAGTGCGCTGATAGACAACCTGAAAATGCCACCTATTAGTAACGAAAAGGAACATAATTACATGAAGCCACTGATCAGCTGTTTTGTATCTTCCCCAGTTCTTGAGTTGGCATACGTTATGAAAGCACAAACGACGGCCAACCAAGCAGCAAACTTCATCTACTAGCATAGACTTTTCATATTTTCAACTTACTTCAAACAACAGTCCACACATGCTTAAGACTATTCCGAAAAAATTAAGATAGTCTATAGTTTGGTCTAGTGGAGGGGCATCCTGTGATAATGGGACGAATCTTAATGGTTTAATAAATGATCATAAAGACATACCTTCGAAGTTTATTGGGTCTCCTAGGATCTGACGCGGCTAACATATCTGGATTTTAGAATAGAAATACTTTTTACAAAGATATAAAATGTTGCAGTACAAAGAATAAACAGTTTCTGAAATGTAGTTATTTTATTTTAACACAGATAATGGTACAAAGAGGCACCAAATACATATACGCCACACAAATCTTATTCGATATGTGTGAGGGCTGTGATACTACCCGGATGCCCAAACCGAAGCAGGTGGTTTTCTTAGGGGGCCACTCCCCGAGCCTTCGACCTGAAGGTCTGATCCACAAGGCACTGGAGCATCGTCAGGAGATGCAGTCTTATGGAAACCGGTGACCAACAATTGGTTCATATGCCATTTGTTCCCGCAGGATACCGGAGCCCATGTGCACCATTGCTTTGGAATCCGGTTAAAGCGCCGGACATTCGCTTTTCGTCCTCTCGTTTTCGTAAACAACACCCCCGCCACGAGAAGGCAGTGAGTAGGACTTCCCTGGCAGAGGCTATATACGCATGGCCATGTGAGAGCATTTCGAGAGGGAGAGAGGACTCTCCTCTCTCTCGGCCGTACCAGGGCATTTGGGGGCTTTGAAATGTAGTACTATATAATAAAAAGACTGTAAATGTATCAAGCAGGTTAAAATGATGTTCTAGATGTATTATAAGTGGCAAATTAGAAGAAACTTTGTGGAGCCACAAAGGTAGAACGATTTGGAAAATATTAAGCTAAACTTCTACGTAATTACCATGATGCGATAGTCATTAAATGCTGTTTTTGAGTTGCCTATATTCTAAAATTGTTTTAAAGCATTTCTCGTAAACCCTGAACCGAAGTCCGAACGATTTCATAGCTCGTGATATACAGTTAAGAGTATTCCTATCTTCCTATAGTGCAGAAAAGTTTCATAATCCAACTGGGTCTGCATAAAAATGTCAAAAATAAATGAGTTTTACCGTCAAATTGTTCGAAAATGCACTTTGATGTTGTTAATTCAAGACTGGTTTTAACGGCACTTTCGTCATAGCATATCCAATATCGCTGCGACAAGTTAGTGTAAATCAACTGATTTCTGTGAGATCACTACTCGGTATTGAGGTACGGTTTCCAGACCTTTGGTATCCCCTGATGTGTTCTAACCACATGGTTGCACTAACCGAAATGAATTCGATGATAATTTGGAGGTTGATGTCTCGAATCATTATGATTCATCATGCCCAACGTAAAACCTGGCATGATTCATTCGCCATATTACAATTCAGCGACAAAACTACTTCAAAAACACTTGAGTAGTAGAAGCAGGAGCAGTAATAATACTAGTAGAAAAGTTAGGTACAGAAAGATAAAAAAGTAGAATAAGATATTGGGATTCAAGTTTTAAAAGAAGACAAGGATTGAATGCACTACCATTGTGAACGATTGAGTCGTGTTACCCTCGAGTATAAATGAATGTGTTTGTCTCAGAGCAGTGAAGATGCTAGAACCAACAGCCATCACGTTACAAAGAGGCAAACTAGTTTCTTGTAACACGAAGGATTTCAAAACTAAAAAATAAAGGAGTAGAGGCGCCAAAGCAAACCAGTCAGCTGAACTAGTGATTAAGGTAAGTATAAAAATATGTGAACGGAGTACGAAAAGGGATGTAAAGAGGTCAAGTGGTATAGGGTGAGTACTAACAATAATAATTACGGATCAAGTGCAAAATATGGTACATGAACGCTAATGAGTGCGAAACATCCATCCTCATCTTACCACACGTTGTTCCACGCGAAAGACGGCTAACCATTAGTATGTGCATATTTACAAAATCTTCTCTCGAGATGCTTCACTGATGGCTGTTGTCATACCCTTTGGAAGAGAGTCCCATGTAGCGCCGACCGGTAATGAGAAGCGTGATCCTGTCTGGATGTTCGCTCTTTCATGTGTTATTCGTCTCGGGTTCCTTTAGAAAGTACAAAGGTGTTTCAAGAGGGATATTTCTATTTGTGAGATCCAGAATGCTTCGTACGTTACACACTCACCAGGTCGCCTACCAGTATTTAACCTAGACAGCACAACCCCAGGTTGTGAAGTTGGTTCCAACTTTTCGTCACTTAAACTTACGCATAACGCCGCTGCATGCCATCGTACTCACTTCAGCCGATTGATTTTCTCCATGATGAAAAAGGGTGTAACAATTCTGCGTGTTTCATGATGTGGGAGGATGTAGGCCATGAATGGAGCCCAAGAGAGCCCACGAGTCGGCACCTTTACCTGCCTTCAAATGAGGTGGAAAGTAACGAATGATTTGGTTGCATTGCGCTGAGTTTCTGGCGTCCAGACTTTCTGTTAGCAACAGACTAAGGTTGCTCTCTATTAAGTTTCTAGAGACGATGACTTCAAAGGGAGTAACTAGCCTGTCTTTGAAACAGGCATCGTTTGGCATTTTTGAATGACTAAGAACATAATCATTCCTCGATTAACTAGGCTTCCAGAGGCTAATTATCCGAGTTATATGTGTAGTTTGCAAAACAGCAGCAATACATTACAATTTAGACCGACAGATGTTGTAAAATGGTTAAAACAAATCCAAAAGTACAAATAATTAACAGCCAAGACCAAACATTGGTGATAATATTCTATGTAACGACAAGTTATAGACCTCACTCGTATATAACTTACTACAATCCGTGGACTACAATTGGAGATGCACAACTGTAACGCGAACTTTCAATAGTCCCCCCTACCCAAATGGTTCAAATTGTTGCGGATGGAATAGAAGAAGCTTTCGCTTAACGGGCTTCCGTGACTAGTAACAATGGATAATCAACACCTCCAGGCAGGAACCTAAGTATATTAACGATAAAAGAAGAAAAAGAAATTGGTAAATCATAGTAAGATATAATCCTTAGCCCTTAAGAATAGATCAAGATTCCTCTTAAAGGACTCCTGGGAATTCACTTGGAATAGCTCAGACGGCGGCGAATTCCAGCATTTTACAACTATTAAGGAGTAAAATTTGTGTCTACAGTCCGCTGTGCTATGTCGTGTCTCTAGTTTCTGGGTGTTAACCCATAGGTTCGTGTTGGAGCTAAACCTAAGAGGATATCCATGTGTTAAGGATGCAGTAAGCCAAAAGAAGGTCACCGAACTTATTTCGTGGCTCGCCGTTGGACATGTTCCAGAGTGAGGGAGGAAACACTGTTTCCGTACTCTAAATGAAGACGAATGACACTGTTGAAGACTATGTGGAAATGTCTCCCGTCAAACTGGCCAAAAATGCGCTTCAATGTTACCAGTGCAAGGTTTGCTCGAAAGGTATTTTTGTCACAGCGTAAGACTTCAAATTTTAAGGTACTAGCACTTCTAAATCTTTCGCAACTTGGGATACTTCTAGAGAGAAGTTTCCTAAGTTGTAACTGTAGTCTGCAACATGTCTCAGATGGACTACTTTACACTTCAAAGTGTTAAAGGTGAGTCCGTTGTCATCTGCCCAACTTTGAAGTCGAGTCAGATCCTCCTGAAGTAAGGGTTGCGTATCTCTCCAAAGTTTTGCATGGCAAGCAGAATGTAGTGAGTATGTCGATACCTGACGTGGAAGATCGTTTATATAAATCAAGAGATGAAAAGTCTCAGTACTGAACCCTCGTGGACTCCACTAGGACATTCCATAGTCTGACAGAAATTGAAGCTAACCCTAACGATAAAATGTTGATTTTTTAGATTTGAAGCGAGCCAATCAATTAAATGTGACTTGATTCCTAGTCTTTTGAGCCTATTGATAAGACATATATGGTTGACCATACCAAAAGCTTTTAAGAAGTCATGTCAAACGACGTCAAACTTTCCCTTGTGGTCAAAGATGGTTGTCCATTTGTCCACTGTAGTCAACAGGTTGCTTATACAAGAATGACCCTTTCTGAAACCATGCTGTTGAGGTGAAAAGAAGTTTCAGAATGAGAAATTGTCGCTTATGTCGTCGCATATCGGGGACTGCATAATTTTTGAAGGTATAGCGAAAAGAGCCACCGGTTGGTAGCTGGAAGTTTCTCTGAGTTGAGCTCCTTTGAAGATTGTTGTGATGTGAGCCATCTTCCAAATTTCCGGCAATGTGCCTCAGGTTAGCAGATGTGAGAACATCACGCTAAGAGGTGTTACCAGGATTGAGGCTGCTTCCCTCAGTATAGGAGGATGAATCACATCCAAACCACGAGAAGTGTCGTTTTTGTAGATTTTAAGGACCATTTGGAGAACAGACTGCTTTGTAGCACATAAGACCGTGTGCAGTAAGAAATCCTGATGAGCATCCACATCACATTGAGGGCGAATTTCCCAATCCACCTGTTGCAAATTGTCCTGCAAAGCTGACACGTTCAACAACTTGAAAATCCAGCCCCTGTTCTTGGTGGGATGTATTAGCTCAGTTTTGCTCATAAAACTAAAGGCTATGACGGCGTGATTTCTTCTCCCCAGGTGTATCAAGATTGAGTTGTTATTCGAGAATTATTCGCTTGTTACTACATAGTCTAAGCGTGGCGACGTCTGATTGTTTCTACAACGAGTTGCCAACCCCACATTTTTGAATAACCCCAGATTCTCAATGAGGTCGAAGAACCGAGATTCAGTAGAGTTTCCACGTCCAATATACGTATGTTCCGCAAAATTGTCTTTAGGAAGACTGAAGTCCCCTAGAATCAGGATATGAGTGAATCCGAGAAGAGTGGAGTGGGATAATCCTCCCAGCATACGATTATCGTACTCGATGTCAGCAGTGAGCTTCCTGTGTACGACTCCAACTGGATAACATCAGAACTTTCTGTGAACTCATAAAATGTGAGTATCTAGCAGATTTCCAGTTACTTGTTTCAGCTATTCATATTGCCCACTCTCTCTTTTTATTTTGTAGGCAAAAGTTTCGCTGAGGACGCCGAAGAATACGAATTTACTCTTCGTTCATACGTACTTCATTCTTTTGTTCTGAATTAGGACCTTAGGGTGAACTTCATAGACCTTAAATCTTTCATAATTCCTTGATCTCGTGTTTAGTCTTCAGTGGTAAGGATAGAAAGTCTATCGACCTATATTAATCCTTGCAATTCTTAACACTGTCAAGGTCTACTATAGCTTTAAATGTATCGACAGAAGGAGCTGATATTAGTACTCTGGTGGAACATTCTAGTAATTCACTTTTCAGTGATAGAATCGGAACTGCAGATGTAAACTGGTTGGTATCGCTTAGGTCATAATTTCTATTTTTATCAGAGAGTGACATACTTGAGGTGTTATATAATAGTTTTACAACGTACTAGATAACTAGTTTTGACAAGTGAATAGCCAAACTAGTTCGATTTTCTGCTTGAATTAATTTCGGGTTTTGTTTCCTAACGGCATTAAAGTGGATATTTGGCGTAACGCGTGTAACCAGCGTTTACCGAAGTTTAGGAGTGATTCAGAATAGCATCACACAAGTTGTAATCGGTGAACAGGTAGAATTATGGTCTACTACTGTATTAGTACTGCTCTAATGATAGACCCAATCCTAAAATCGTAGATTTTTCATAGTGTAACTGTAGTGGCATTGGACAATAACCGCACAATCCACAAAGCTGAACACGAGACTACTCAGAAAATAGATATTCAATATTTAACACGGAGAAATACCTTACAATGTGGAAGATGCGAACAATGAATTGAAGGTACTGGAGTTGATCGAGTGGCATGGCTCGGCCATGCAGGCGTGGTATCTGCTGAATGTTACCTTATATCTTCTATTCATATTAAATATATTGTTCTTTCTCTAGCCTAACCTTGTTCTACATCATGTATTGGTAATTGATACGATACAGTGAGTTGGTGTAGTCGATGGTGTGACTTCCACGTAAGATCTTATAGATTAGGCAGTTATATCATGACAAATCTACAAATTTAGGATTAGGTCTATTATTAGAGCAGTACTAATATCATAGTAGACCATAGTTCTACATAACTACCTAATATATAAGATCTTACGTTGATGTCACATGATTTTTACCCCGACTCATTCGTATTGTAACAATCATCAGTATATGATGAACACGTCTGGACTTGAGATAAACAATATATTTAATATAGATGAAAGACTGTTGCATAAGTAGGATCACACTTGCAAAGCTGAGCCACGCCATTCGACCAACTCGAACTCAATCGATTCCTTCATCCCGCCTTCTCCATGGTTGGCTTTTTATCTGTGTGAAATGTTGAATATCTATTTTCCCAGTTGTCTCGTGTTCAGCTTTGAGGATTGTGTTGTTAGGGCGGAATGTCCCTACAAATAATCTAGAGTGAAGGATACGAAATGTCAGCAGAACAGTATAAAAAATTATTGAACTTGCGGGTTCTCGCGCACGTGCTGTGTGTTGTTGGGCATTTTTGTCGTCTTCTTCTCTTCCTTGGACAAAATTCTTACTGTCTTACGCCAATTTTTGCAATGTTTACGCTTTTTATAGGACTTTTGTATCAGTAAGTAATAGTATACATAGTTGTTCAGGATTTGAGTGAAAGCTATGTCAACTTTAACGTGTTTATTTGTATCATTATAAACTCGTGCAAGTGAAATGAATTGTTTGTCAAGTTGGAGATAAAATGTTTTCAGATTTTCAACGAAAATGGGCTTTTAAAGCCTTTTAAATATGACCTATTACCCTAAAGGATGTTGATGAACAAGGATGTCTGGTAGTTGTTTAGTAAATTCAGGCTAAGGCGATTCTGTGTTAATCTATTTCTAAACATTATACGAGTTCCCACCATACTACCATAAGCAATTACGATCGGAACAACAGCATCATTTTTTAATAGAACTGACGTTTTAATGTGTAACTTATCTGCGAAAGAAAAATTATGTGAGCGACAATTGTCACTAGTGACGTTTTCTGCCAGCTTTACGAACACATACAGCAAATATGTATAATAGCAGTAAGTTTCACAGTAATTAGTCACATATTCCACTTATGTAAAGTGTTTGAAACCATAACCAAAATATATTCAAGGATTTAATTATATGGATGAAGAATATTTATATTGTGCATTCCAAATATTTCATATTGTTCATAAACCGTGAAGTAATGTCAGTATTATGAACGTCGTAACTGAATCTTTCTCAAATTTCATTGTAATACTTGAAGTCATTATATTGGCTTACTTAGTACCTACAATTTTCGCAAGCACTAAATGGCTAGGTGAAATTCTTGGACGCTTGAAAAAAGGCATTATTTGTAGCAATTAAGACACTTGTAACTACATTTTATAAGTTACTATACCATTTACATACTGAATTCGATACGCGAAACGAAGGTTTACCATTTGTTTCATTATTGACTTGTTGTTTTCACAATTGCACTGGGAACAAAGCTCTTGTGTTATTACATGAGGTATTTGTGTCGTCTATCTTACATTGAGTTCTTTTGTTTTAGAATATAATTAACTGTGCGATTATACTTTCTAATCGATTGAATGCACTATTAGAGTTTTTCTTCATTAGAATGTCTGAAAAATGTGACGGAAATAATTCTGATCTGTCACAAATGTTCAATAGTTGCACTCACAAGTGCTTGTTTCTACTTCTAGAAGTCTTCGGCAGTAAACCATGAACATTCTTTCATTGTTTTCATATTCCACA